GGTGTTGAGTCTGGGAAGTTTCTTGAATTTTTGATTGATCATAGAGAGATAGAGGCAAATTCGGAGAAGATTCAGGCGGTCATTGACATGAAGTCACCCCGCATTGTTAAGGAAATTCAAAAATTCACCGGTTGTCTGGCTGCATTGGGGACCTCTGCCGGTCAGGGGACAAGTGCCTCTATTGTTTCTAAGTAATCAGAAAGAAGACCATGTTTGAATGGGGAAATGATGCTGAGGCGGCCTTCCAAAAACTGAAAGAACATCTGCACTCCTTGCCAAGGCTTGTTAGCCCTCTGCCCAAGGAGACGCTTGACGTGTACCTAGCCGTCTCAGATCATGCTGTGCTGTTCTCGTTGCTAAGAGAGATGACAATCAACTCGTGGTCTATTTCATTAGCCATATGCTTCAAAATGCTGAACTTCGGTACTCAATGGTTGAGAAATTTAGTCTTGCTCTTTTCATGGCAGTCAAAAAGTTGAAGCCATACTTCTTGGCACATCCGATGGTAGTCTACACAGACCAACCCTTCAAGCGGCCAATGACAACCTTAGAGTCATCCGGGAGAATGCTCAAATGGGCTATTGAAATGCAAAGTCTTGAAATCACGGCCGGTTGAACCGGAAAATCTTAATTAGGTATGGAAAGTGTATGTAGATGGGAGCTCTACTATGAACGGCTGTGGTGCAGGGATTATCTGTCAGTCTCCTGAAGGGGACAAGTATGAATATGCACTACGGTTCAAACTTCAAACAATGAAGCTGAGTATGAAGCCCTGCTAGCCGGTATACACATGTGTAAGGCGGTAGGAGCAAAGAAAATTGACGCCTGCTCTGATTCATAGTTGGTCGTTAGCCAATACCACGGTGACTATGAGGCCACACATCCGACTATGATCAAATACATGCAGACGGTCAGGGCAAAGACAGGAATACTTAACACACTAATTATCGACTTGTGATAAATCCATAAATATTGTGAAATGAAAAGAAGAGAGATAATGAAATGAGGGCTCTTGTAGAATGTGCCGCAATAAATCTTCCCATGTTTAGATTTATTAATACTTTCCCATTTAATCTTTCACTCTCTATCATTCCAAAAACCATTTCAGAATAAATCACCGTTTGTCGATGTGGGGAATTTATGTGTCCACTCATTTTTGGCACTTCTAGCTCTTGTTCCATGCCAATTTGCATGGACATTACTATCCGTTGTTGGAGGAAATCTTGTTTATTATTCGCTTAACTAAGCAAGTTCTGAGTTTGTTGGTCTCCCTTTATGTCTTGTAGGTATAAAGGACTAGATCTTTATCTGAAATGGAAATGGTAAGGCAACCAAATTCTCTACGGTTTGTTGCCTCGGGAATGCAACAAAATTCTCTACGATTTAATTTGTTGCCTCTAAAGTTGCACTTGATGGGGTCATCTTTGGGCCTATTAATCCACTAGTAGAATAAGTATTGGCGCATAGGTCCTATATATTTCACTTGCAAATATAATGACATTTTTGTAAATGGAAATTTGAGAAAAATCGGTGGCAGAAAATATGATAACAAAAAGTACCCCTAAATGTATAACAGTACATAAAAAGTACTATTCAGACAAATTATATTTTAATGATACATTATACATGCATAATAATACATAAAATATACCACTGTACCATTAAAAGAGAGAAGATGTACCACCGAATCCCCGATTGCCCTCCTATATACATGCAAAATACATGGGCCCTATGCGCCTATATGCACTCCCACTAATACTAGTTGCAATTCTGTCCCTTCATTCCCCTTTTAATCTTTCCATGGGCTCTTCTAACAAAAAGAGTGTTCTCCTCAGATTAAGGAAGTTCCGAAGAGAAGAGATGCAAGTAGTGGATATATCCCTGCTTTGGCCCTGGAAAGTGGCATATGGCTTGTCCTTCTGGTGGTTAACTTTCGATATGTACCTGTGATGTATCAACTTCAAAATGTCAATGTCTTCTGCTTGATCGACAACTTCTTGCCAACGGTTGGACAACAAGAAAATATAAAATGGAAATTTTTACTTCGCCAGGGGGGTGGTATGGTTGTTCGCCGAGGACAAAAGGACAAAAGCTGTTGATTAAGGTCTTTTTTTTAACTCTGTACTTGTCAATAAATAGATAAAGGAATTTGACTAAGAATATGTTAGATTTCTTTTAGTTAATCGTATCTTGGTGAGGTATTAATGTTCTATTATTCACTTGCAGGTATGATGCCATTTTATTGTTTTAATCACTATACATAAATAAATTATGGCTCCATTCGAGCTATGCCATGCTTCAGGCTCAGATTAGGGGATGGGATAATGTTACCTTTGCTTCTGATTGTCAGAGGATTTTCACTGCTATCCTAGACAATTACATTACTACTCATGTGTCATACAATCTCATCTCTGATTGTAGGGTGTTGCTGGCTCAGGACAGTGGATTTCGAATTCAGTATGAGGGGCGATATACCGACATGGTGGCAGATGCTTTGGCAAAGGAGGCACGGGACAAGTTCACTATTAATGTTTGTGTAGTCTGGTTTGATAGACCTGTAATAAGCTGTAATCCTCTTTATTTGCATGACTTAGTGTCTTAGTCTTTTGAGCAGCGAATGATTTTAAGAGTCAGGACTTACAACAAAGCTCTAGTGTTGTAACGTAATCGTACCCTTTGTATGCATGCACTTTGCTTTAGTTTAATTTGATTTCGTGCCCTCTTTTAACAAAAAAAAAAGGAATTTGATCATGAATCTTGCAAATCTGCAATGCCTATATGTGGGATCGATTTTTGGTATTGAAAATGTTGAAGTCGATGCCTTCAAATTCAGAAATGTTGACTCCTGTTTGTATGGTGAATAAATGACCCACAAAAATAAAATGAAACTAAAGTGTCCATTACATGTTTTATCATACAAGTACGTACATTCAGTCTCCAACAACCAAGAAACTTGATGATTATATTTTTATTTTTGATGGAACTTGATGATTATATACGAGTAGATAATAAAAGTAAATGTTATTTCCGTAACACTTGTTTTATGAATGCTTGTAATTTGCTTTTGCAAGAATGCAAGTTTACAATACTGTATTGGCTAATTTCTCGTCCTAAGCCTGAATTTAGCTTTTATCTTTGTTAATATAATTGTACTTACATCTATCTTTATTCCTTGTACGTCCATTACTTTTGCTATATACAGTACCTCTATCCGTTGTACGTCCATAACTTTTTGCTATACTAGTTGTGGACTTGTGGGAGTGCGCATAACCAAACTTTCCGGCGATTGATTACAAAGGGGAAAGCGGTGGGGTTAGGGTTTGTGAAGGGACTGCAAAGTCGTGCCAACTGAGGAAGGAGGGGTTGGGGTCGCCGGTGGGAAGGGGAGGGGCCAGTAATCAGGGGGTGGGGGGGAGGAGAGGTGGTTGTGTGGTAGGAGTGGGGATGGTGGTGGTAAAAATAATTAATATATTTGATATATACCAACAATATAGTAGTTGGACAATATCAAGTTGTTTTCAAATTACAGTTATATGTTGTTAATACTACAAATGTATCACCGTCGAAGCACTGTGGCAATGACATTTCAATTCATGCTTAAAACTTTATGCAGCTCATTAGGTCTAGGGGTGTCCGTTCGATTTTTGGTTTGGATTTAGTCCAAATCCGATCCAATCCGAAATATAATTCGGTTTTCAATTTTTCAATCCGATCCGATCCGAATTTCTCTCCCAATTCAATTCAATGTAATACATTATTTGGATCCGATCCGAACATCCAAATTATAATACATTATTTTTTAGCGCCTAATACAATTATAAAAATAAAGCTTTAATATAAATACAAGTCTTCAAAATCATGATTAAAATAAATAGTTCAACATCAAGGCATTAATTAATTAGTACAAAGTCTCCCTAATTTATTTTATGTAGTAGTAAGTATTTGAGCTAAACTTCAAAAAACAAAGAAACCCATATTTATACAAGCTTAATTTTACAATTTGGTTTTCGGATTGGATTGGATCCAATTAGGGTCAAACTGATCCAATCCGAAAATCCGAATTTTCAAAAAAATCTCAATCCGATCCGATCCGAATTAATAATTTGGCTTGAATTGAATTGGATTTCGGTTTTAATTAGAATTATGAAGACCCCTTATTAGGTCTAGGGATTTAATCATAGCAAGCACAAAATGCCCCCAATTGGAAATATTTAAGGGCTATGAGCATTCACAATATATAACAAAGGAGGAATATAAACTATTAGCTCCAATTATTTAAAAATTGCATGTAAAGACTTATCTTTACATCATTGTTGATGCTCTAAGGGATACCACACCTCAACGTTGAAATGTTCCATCTTTCTAATAGAGTTGGTACCATCGTCCATCAACTTATCCGATTTTAATTTGAATGTACTAGTGCCTAACATAGTAACATACTACGGAGTAACATACTACGGAGTACGTACAGGAAATGTGCCCAGGTCACACATAGTTTCAAATTGAAAGGTATAATATTTCCCGCTAAACTTAATTTTAATGTTGTGCCTAACATAGTACCCCCTCTATTTATAAATACTTGCTCCACTTTTAATTTCTGACCGTTTTTAAATACTTGCTCCACTTTTCTATTTGGAAACATTTTACTATTTAATTCATTTCTCTCACATAGTCGACCCAACATAAATCATATTTTATTAATTTCATATTCTCTCTCCTCCAACTATTTCAATTACTTTTGCTTTTTGTAATTTTTTATTCTCCCAATTACCCCACTACCTCTATATTTTATTACTTTCTTATTTAAAAACGAAGGGAGTAATACACTTTGGATTTACATATAGAGTACTCCGTAACTCCGTATTTATTTACATACGGAGTACTCTGTATTTGGTATCTCACTTCCAAAATCAAAGAAAACAAGTGATCTACGATTCCCGCGATCTAAGCTGCCCTTTTCTACCTTTTTCTTACACTATTTCAAATATAAATTCTAGGGGTGGCAATTCGGGTCAGCAGGTCGGGTTCGGATCAGATTTCGGGTCGATTTCGGGTTATGCTTAGAAACTATTAAAAATAGTGTAAAACTTAATATTATTACGAAAGATGAAATTTGGGTCAAATCGGGTCGAATTCGAATTGTTTGGGTTCGGTTCAGGTCGGGTTCGGGTCTCTCTCAGTAACTTCGGGTCGGGTTCGGTTCGGGTTTTCGTGTCGGGTCAGGGTTTGCCATTCCTTATTTCTTACAATTAATTTTCATGGATTCCGACCAACCTACTCCATTCTCCGGTAATCGGCGGCAACATCAACCCTAATTTATAACTCCAAATTCGTCTGTATTCATGTAATTCAACTTCAATTCCAGGTAAAAAGCGAATCGTAATTTCTATTCTCCTCTTTAATTTCTTCTCAAATTCCTCGTTTTTTTCAGCTTTATTGTTCTTCTTTTTCAATTTTTATTCTATTAATTGTGAATTATATAATCTATGTTGTGCCAAAATTTGATTGTTCTACTTGTTTGTTGCGGGTTTGTAATTTTATTTGCTGATATTTTATGCAAATTATTTTTTTATTTTTTTGTGGATAAACTCTTTTGAATTATGGGGGAGTCTTAAATTCTTAATTACTTTTCAATTTTGTTTTGTTGTCTTCAATTTTTAGTGGTTGCTTACTTTGGTGCGGATTTAGTTGTTGCGTTACTAGTTCAAATTACAATAATACTTTCGATGTGACTATTAGTTTGAAAAGAGGGAGTGGTTAGAAGTAGAAATAAAATAACTGATGCGCTTGAGCGGAACCTGCAGTCACTATCATCGTCCGAGGAGTAAGATATCATTGAGAGAAAGAGGTTAAGGGTGATGAATGTTAAGATATGTGTAAATATTATTGTGGATATTTACGTTTCCTTATGTTTAGCCTTAAGATTATTTAGTTACCTTGTTTATAGCTAAATTAGGGGCTTAGCCTAATCTTTGTACACTGTATATATTGCTAGCAAAGCAATGTTAATATTCTCGGAGTATAATTCTTTCAATGAATAATGATATAAGAAATGGAGACCCTAGTGGATGCACAAAATGGGTAATGCTTGGATGAAGCTTTTGAGAAGGCAAAGTTAAGCTAGGAAAGTTTGTGGTGCTATACTGTTATGGGGAGATTTAACTAAAAGTTGACTAATCTAGTAGGAAAGTTAAGGATTAAAGAATGGTAGATCACAAAACCATATTTTAGGTATTACATTCTTTGAAAAAAAAAAAACAAATTGGCTATATGTTGTAAGACATACATGCGTTGACATTTGTAATCCTGCTCATATATGGAGTTTGTAACTCTTATTAGTATCAGCTGATACTTTAAGAGTTTGAGTACTAGTGTAAACTACTTTGGGTACTCTATCTCCGTTGTGAAGAGTAGAACTCAATTATTACTGTTTTTTTTTTTTCCCTCTCTCTCTCTATAATTTGTTTGTTGTGATGATCTTGAAATGAGTTTTGCTGTAGAATTTTGTCAGTGAAATTAATTGGGATAGAAAGTTTGGAGTTTTTTTTTTTTACCTATGAGGGAACTTAAGTTCCATTGTCTCTACAATCCTTTATTATGTACTTATTGAGGCCTTATATGATGTATGAGGAGATTATGGATGAAATGGCATGTGGTATTAGTGTTTAGTGTGTTGGCACTTGGCAGAGAATTGGAGTTTTGCATCTATCTGGAGGTATTCATGCAGTCACTGTCTGTTCCAATACTAGTCCAGTAGTCCACCTTTTTTTTGACATTCTTCGGATAAGGTAAGAGTGGACTTTATACCTATTGGTAAGGATTATAAGGCTAGGAAGGATTGCATGTGGGTTTAGCTAAGTAACCTGCATCCAAATTAGAAAGCAAGGGCAATTCATTGTCTCACAGTAATGGTGATCTTATGGCTACTTTCTTTGGACTCTTCAATCAATATACTAATCTTTCTTATCAGATTGTTGGAGCTGACATGGCACCTAGAGATGTTTACAATTGGACCTTCTCTCCCCTCTCTCCAAGGAAAATTCCGTAGAAGCAATTATTTCCATTCCCTGGATATTGTTTAATAGCTCAGTAGTATATATGTTGAAATCCTACTAGAGTGTGAATAGTCTATTGTAGCAACTTGTTCTCACTTGAGGACGGAGCATCGATTTATTTCAGACAATTATTATATAGGCGCAGGAGGCCTTTTGGGAAGGGGGTTAGCCTTGAGGAGCTTCATTTCATGTTCTTATTATAGATTTCATTTAAACTTATCTGAGTGGAGAATTAAATAGTGATTTCACTGTTGGAAGGCTTATTGTATAGTATTGGAATTTGAATCAAGGATCATAATTGAAGTAAAGCAAATATGGAATAAATTCCAGATTTGCAATAGTGGCATGTATTGCTCTGTATTTGATTAGCTGTAGAGTGTGGTCTGCAATTAGTGCCTTTTGCTACATGCTGGTCCTTATGTTGTTATCTGTTATTTTCTTACCAGAGATTTGGAACTTTTATTTGTCAGTCAGTTTGATTGGACATGTTGCATGTGAGTAGAGGTTATAAAAATATGAGCTTGCTCACAAGTTACATGAGCCAGGTTAGATCAAACCCTGACTAGTGATATTGAGTTGGACTTGGTTCGACTCGAGATCATAATGGCCTGAGTTGTGGCGTAGAATGTGACATTATAATTTGATTAGATTCACTAAAAGTTTGATTTACATGTCCAATTCAATGGTCATTACAAGGGTTTTTACATTTATATTACAGGAGAAATTGCCCTAGTTGTCACTTGTCAGGGTGCTATACCAATTCAGATTAGTAATCGATACAATTGGTGTTTATCATGTTTAATTGTATTATTCCTTCCAATCCCATAATAGTTTGAATACTCTCTTTTACCTGCCGAGAAAGACCCCATTATTATTTTGATAGATCTCTCCCCCACTTTCACATTCAATAATCAACCTCAGTATTTTCTATCGCATCTACTTCTACAAAAGTAATACCCACTATCTCCAATCACAAACACTTTTTTATTAGATATTACTACCTCCGTTCCAAATTAATTGTCACATTTTGACTTTTAACACTATTCATAATCTTCACTTTGAATAACATGTGTGAATTATAGATATGAATACATTTTTTTTTTACCAAAGATATGACTACATATAGTCATGTTGGATATTGTTAGATCCATTTTAATGTGTACTTAATAAAAATTCAATTTCTAGTATTTTTTTTTTCAATAGTATAATTAAATATATTTTTGATTAATTTATGCATTGACAAACGTGATAAAAGAAACATGTCAACTAATTTGATACGGCGGAAGTAATTGATAACAACTCAACAACTTATCCCCTAAATTTATGTGCTAAGATAAGTGTTCGAACTATTATGGGATGGAGAGAGTACTAAATGCTGCAAATAATAATACATATTGGATCCTAAATAGTAAATATTCTGATGGTTGATTGGGTATGGACACTTGATTCTTCATTGTGGACTAAATATAGGAACTTTAAGTGTCCATAGGTTGTATTTCTTAAATAAGACCTTTAGTTTTTTGTGGAGCACAAGGTAGTGCATGAAGTGGATAGCTTACTTTTGTGGTAGATGGCTTTAGTTAGGCTTGTCTTTAGTCTTTTTGGGCTGGGTATGAAGTAAGCATCTAAGCAAGCATGAAATATATGAGAACTAGTAATATAACTTCAGAATATGCATTAGGTATCTCTTTGCTTTGTTTGTTGGCTGAAAGAATCCTGGTTGGCAATGCTAGGGGTTGAAGAGGGATGAGTGAGGAAGGATGAGGACTGAAAGATGGTAGCTATTGGTAGCTTTGCAGGTTTATAGTGAGTAAGTCCAGCTGGAAGGGTATGTTGCAATTAGAAGTAAAGATGAGCAGGGGGTGGGGGGGGGGGGGGGGGGTTGTAAAGCTACATTGCTAACTAATTCTTATACTTTAAGTCGTTTTACGTAATATATTGCGGCCTATGTGGTAATCAGTTATAAACTACAGTAATGAGAATGAATGTGTGTATAAATATGAAAAGAAAATCAATGTTCATTCGCATGATCACTCAAGATGACCCCCAAATTGTTTATATTTTCCTAATACCACCTCCCAAGTTGTAATGGATGGTAATGGAAAAGCATGAAGAAAACACAAGCTTGGGGGATGAGACTGTGCATGGAGATAGTAGGTTGTTTTCCATACTATTACACTTTATATTCATTCCTATTATTGCACGGCTACCAAATGTGTGTAGGTGGTATATTGTATATATCTTAAAGCCAGGAGAGGCAATTCTCAAAATGGTAGCATTAGTGTCGGGCTGTTAGCTCATCTTCTTACTATCCTAACCATTGAAGATTGACTTCTCGTCAGAGCAACCATGGGTTTCATGAGTGACATGTAACATATGATATCTAAATTGAAAATATCATCTTGTAAATTATGCATGCTAATGTAGCTAACCAACTAATCTTCTCTTTTTTGACTTGTAGCTGTGTCATGTGCTTTAATTAACTTAATAAAGAACGAGAAGGAGCTGCTTGAGCTTCCTGAAACAGATAGTGGACACAATGAGGGAAGCAGATGTGGGTCAACTTGCAGAATCAATTTCTGGTTCTCGATGCACCAGATCACATTTACAAGCAGCAGCGGTGTGGACTGCACAAGATATGCTTATTCTTGTGAATGAAATTGCTGCTGTTGAAGGGGACTGGAAAAATTCTCTGTCAACTCATCAAAAATGGACCATTATATCAGAAACTTGTACTGCACTGGGAGTAGGAAAGACTGCAAACCAGTGCCGCAGAAAGTGGCAGTCCTTGCTTGCTGATTACAATCTTGTCAAGGAATGGAAATTGAACTCTGGGAGTGATTCTTACTGGTCTCTTGGATGTGATAGGAGAAAAGAAGCTGGCCTTCCTTTGGAATTTGACAAAGACCTGTATAAAGCTATGGAGGATTTCATGAAGGCATCAGATAGGGCAGATACAGACCCAGAATGTGATCCGGATGCTGGAGAGGTTGATGTTCTTGATGCTGAGGAATCCGGTAATATGTTTTTCTTCACAAATCATGAATGTAGTTCCTTTGCATGGTGAAAATACTTTTGACATGTGATGCTTCTGCCATTTTTCTCTAAGTCGATTTCCCTTTTTGATTTTAATTTGTTTAGTAGTACTCCCTTCGTCCCAATACTTGCTTTAGTTTGACTATAACCTATTTTGACCAAAATTTCCCCTGATATCTAAAAACAAATTATAGTATGATATTGTTTTTATCTTAATTTATATTCTAACTTTTTATGATTTTTACTAATAGATAATTAAAGACATTGATGGGTGAAGTTGTGCAAATTTAAGCATATCAATCAGTGTTGCAAGCAATATGGGACAGAGGGGGTGCCTTTTTTAGATAAGGAAATAGCAATTCTGTCCACCTACTTTCCCCTAGCAGCTGGCTAATTAAGGTCCTGAACCAACCCTATGGTCCCTATCTATTGAGATTTGAACTATTATATGATTAGAAATTGAATTTGACCTTATCTGAGTAAAACAATCTAAAACCAGCTAAATTTTGTGAAGAAAGGCTGTTAGCCACCTGTAAATACCCCAAAATAGTGGTCTTGAACATGAGTACTACTTATTATTTGGACTAAATTTAGTAATAGAAAAGCTGCTTGATTGAATTAGTGTTCTGCTTCCACTCCCCTACTGAGGAGTGATCCACATCTCTGTTCAACCACTCAGGGGCAATTTAAATAGCTTTGGAGAAGGGAAGGGTTATTTTGGTACAACCATGGTAAAGTAGTCGTTGCTTTTGATGAGAAGAATGGGTGAGAGTGGACTGAATTCTAAACACTCTGAGGAGTATACAGCTGACTATACTTCTCGCCTTACTGGCTCCTTGTGTATTGCACCTTGCATAGTATACATACCCAATTGTGAGTGGGACATTTGTGTTGCATTTTGTTGTAGTTTACCTAGACTTTTGACTTATGAGGGGATTTTAAGCAGTTAAGGTTTATGCTCACCCAAAGGGGTACTATTGGTTATCTCTCCAGCCCTTGATTAAGTATTTGACCAGATCCAAAAGAGTCATATTGTTTGAAACTCTTCCATTAGTTTTCCATGAAAACCTTAGAAGAGTATGTCCTTTCCAGATAACTGCCATTCATCTCTATGTAAGAGTTATGTCACCTGTTAGGCCTCTCAACTATCATGCTCTCTTATATCTTGATTCAAATTGAGCTTTCTCCGTTTACTATTGTTTGCTTTAGGTCCAAAACCCAAAAAGCGAAGGCGCCGGTCAATCCCTAAAAAACGGTTATCTGAAGGGAGGAAACAGCCTGCAACAGAGGTAGAGCATGTGATTCCAGAGCCTCCTGTTGCTGAAGACATGGAGCAAATCCTGGCTGCAAAACTCATGGAGAACACAGAGCTGATCCATGCCATACTTGCAGGAAATGTTACTGAAAATGTTGATGAGGACTTGACCAGTGTAAGAAATGAGGAGTCCCTGAAGACTGAAAATGTGATACGTAAAGCTGACAAGCTTGTTGCGTGCCTTGGAGATCTTGCCAAAAATCTGGAACACCTTTGTGGTGCAGTGGAGAAAGGTTAACAAGGTACCTCTGACCTCTATAATAGCAGTTTAGCGCTAACTGACTAATTTTACAGGTATAGACTTTAGTGACCATGTCAATTTTATTGTTGATAATGGTAAATCAATTTTGTTGATGAGAGTTACTATTTTTAGTATTCAATGCTGTATGGATTTTTGTCTATTTATGGAAATGCAGGGCTGCCATATTCATCTCGGAGATGATCGATATATTTGTACATGTATAGACTATATAGGGTACACATTGAGGACGAAAAGTTTAAAAGCATGAGGTGTTTTGGGAAGTTTGGGAAGGAAAGGGGTATTTCGAGGAAGAATATCTTAGATTAGGGTTTTTGTCAACCCATGGAATTTCTTATACAATGAACGGCATATATATTTTGGCTTTGGAAATTCATCAGCCATCCACAACATGGAAATGGCTGATGGCTGATAGCTGATAGCTGATAGATTTCAACTATCATCAAACTTAGATAACAACATAGAAGTAATAATAATGTGTGTCGATGATGATTTTACCAATGTTTTGTAAGCTATTTGATGGTAACACCTCACAATTTCTACCCTTGGCATGGTAATAGAGAGCCTTTTTGGTGCCTTGGCACTTGCAGGTCATTAGAAAGGGCAATCTAAAAGATTTATGTACCTTGTACAAACGAACAATATATACTAATTAAGATGGTATATAAACGAACAATGTCAACTATTTTAATTGAATTGGTTTAAAGTTTTGAGAATGATATTCAATACCTGATATATTTAAAATAAAAGGGATAAATAAATACAATATGATTTGATTAGTAATCTGCCAAATCAATCAAGGAATGATAGGAAATTAAAAATACAGAAAAGAAATTAAGCAAAAATATTTTTAAAAAATCGACTCTGCTGGGGACCGAACCCAGAATCTCTGGTTTCGTAGACCAGCGCCTTATCCATTGGGCCACAGAGTCATGTTGTTGTGTATATATTCATCTTAGGTAATTTAAACGTAAATTTTGTGGCTTTACTGAACCAAATTTGTGATTTAGTCTTTCTTCCTCTTATGGAAATTTTTATTGCCTAAAAAAGGTAGGATGAGAATTGTAAGATGATTAACTCTCAATAAGCCTCCACCTAATTGATCGTAATTGAAAAAAAATAAAGAATGAGTTTATTGATAAATACATTTTAGATGAATTAAAGTTAATTTCGACGAAAATAAGACGTGATAGATAGAGTCTTTAGTTAAAACCTATTTGGAAGCCGTAATTGATTGAATGAACCAAACCATGTGCAATTATTATCAAATAAAATTGCCGAGGATAGAATTTACATGACTAGGATGATTGTTGAAAAATTACATACAGTAATTTTTTTTTGTTGCTTTAACAAAATTACATTTCACAAAAACAAGAACTCATTTGGTATGTATATCCACACAAAAAATGTTGCAAAATAGGGTGAAACATGAATTTGCTGTGACACTCAGGAGATTATCATTCAAGATAGTACAATTGCTTTGCTTAATATCCAGAGAACTAGTGACATTTCAAATGCAAATAAAGTGTGAAGCATTCCACGATCAAGCGCGAATCCGAATAACGTAATCCCACCATTGTTATGCTGCAAGTATGTCACTACACAAAAGAAAATCAACATTAACCCAAATTAGACCAAAAAAAAAATCCTACAAGTCACATAAGATTAAAATAACGGAACACGTTTATTTTTTAAACCCATAGTGAAACTGCTAAATGCTAATGGCATTAGCGGCTCTATATGTAAACTACTAACGCCAATAGTGGTTCTTCGTGCAAAATATTAAGATAGCCTCATTTAATTACCTAAAGCTTGTCTAGTTTGAAAGGAATGTTGATCATTTGAGTCTTTGACAACAGCTTCGTCTAACGAGGACTGATCGAAATCATCTGAGCTTCGACTCCAGGAGTTCTTACCTTTGCTATGATTTGAACTATCAAAGCAACTAGTCATAAGCATGTGCCATCTTGTAGCGACCGAAACAATGCCTTGAGCTCTATGTGTTATTCTTGCTGCTCCCATCAAACATAAGAAGAATCCACTTAATTGCTTTGCTGAACATACCTACAATTTTAAGCACAAAATTTTTATACACAAGAATTAGACAATTAATCCATTTGTACATTTGTAGTAAAAAAAAAAAAAAAAAAAAAAAAAAAAAAGAATATAATCCTTGGCTTAGATTTCTACTTATATTTCGATGTTTTGGTCCCGAATGTGTCGACAAAATCAAATATCACACACTAATTATCTGTGTATGTACCAACTACCATATGAGTATGTTACATTAATTTTAGTCATGTTCTGTTTTTACCTACATTTTCCTTAGGCATTTAAGTGGCTAAATCGATTATGAAGCACGATTACATACACGAGTTTTAAAGTTTTAATAACGAATTAGTGTGTTCATTGTAGAGATTGATGTACGGACTACGAGTACTTACCACAAGATCACCCGAATTCAAGAAATTCTTGTCGGACTTGGAGGCTAAAACCAGCAAAAGTGCACCCAATTGACTAACTGTGATGGTAACCATGCACCCAACAATGAAGAACCAAAATCTGTGGCTAGTAACATAGAATTGATCTCTAATTCTACGATGCTCTAAGAATATAGCACAAGGCTCGGACCCTGAACCCTCGAACATATGTCTTAGGCCTTCGAGCCTAAGTATTTGGAGCTCACAGGTTAGCCTAAACAGGACACATACAAGCAAGAAAACACCAGTTCTATACACCCATGACATGAAACTTGATATAAACATGATTGTGTTGATTGGTAAAACACCAATAACAGGAAATGAAACAACAACAGTAGAGAAGAAGAGAATTTTATGCACAAATTCGACGATAAAAGAAGGGAGTAGGATGTAAGCAAGGCTTTTGAAGGCTTTATCTACTTGAAACTTGTAACCAAGTTGAACATCTAAAGAATCATCATTTAGACCATCAAGAAATAAGAGTTGCTTAAGGCCATATTCCTTGAAAAATCGATATATGTTAAGAACCCGATAAAGGCTAGGCCGGATTCAGGGAGTTGTACTAGTTTGTTGAATGAAAGAGGCTTATCAGAAGAGGAAGAAGACGGGATTTTAACGGATATAGTGGTTAGGATTGGAATGACCATCGCGAGGATAACAAAGGTGAGGTATGATATGTTTTTGCCTAAGGAGGAAGAGAGATCAAGTGCACACCATTTCAAGCATCTTCGAAAGTGGCGAAGCTCATCGTGCATAGATGAATCGGACCTTTCATTAGACTTTTGCAAAAGTAAGGGGATATGAGGTTGCTCTTCAATGGTTACTCCTTCAAATTCATTGTTCAAAGATTGATCATTTGATTGGTGGTTTTGGAGGGAAACAACGACACTATTAAAAGTGTTCGATACTTGCTCATAGAAGATATTCATCATTGGATTTATCATAAGTTTGCGAGTTTTGAGGATTTGAAACTTTTAGTTTGTATAAGAATCTGAATTTCTTACGACTACATATAACACGATCTTCTATAAGTCAAAAAGAACATAGCCTAATTCAGTTTCATATAATAATTGTGATTTGTAAACAACTTTCAATTGTACTAGGATAGTAGGGATGCCTTTATAATTTTTACACATTAAAGATGAACTTAAATGTGACAATAATTATGGGAATCAGATGAAAGTTGAGTCAGTTGACCCAATGGATCGACAGGAAAATGAAAGCAGCAAGACTATTATAAAAAAGAAGTTTTTAAAATTAATTATCTACACGAGAAAATTAAAAAAGGGTTCACATGTGAATTTTTTATTTTATTTGTTAATTTTCCTACCATAAAATATGGATTTCAATTCATGTGACTTGTGGTCACTACATCGGGCCTAGTTGAGAGAAAGTGGAGGGTAGTTAAGGGCAAGGGCTACATCAAACTAATTAAATTAAACATTGGCCCAAATATAGACTAGGCCAATGTTAAAAAATTGGGCTAGGATATCAAATGTGGCTTCTTTTTTTTTTTTTTTTTTTTTTTTTTTAAAAAAAAAAAAATAGATAAGATTAGAGTTGTGAAATCCGGTATAATCGATTAAGGTCATATCTGATAATGGTTTGCATACAACTCAAATGTATAAAACTATTTTTCAGGGTCACTTTGATTTTTGTCGGATTGCATTTCGAATGAATAATTTTTAGACACTTCTAATTAAAAAGATATACCGGGCTGGAATCTCGCATGAGTTGACATGACTAAATTAGCAGGCTAAATCCTTTGGGAATTGGGGAAGGGGGGTTAAGGGATCTGCAGTCTCAAAGTAGAGATTTACATGCACCTTAGAGTAGGTGCACCTAAAAATAATTTTATTTTACATGCTCATTTGGAGAATATAATTAAGAAAAATGAATAAATATAAAACTTATATGAGTATGTATGTTTCACACAAGGGAGCTTTTAAAAAAGAAAAAGAAATCTGAAAAATATGGAAAACACATAGTACATCTTTAAGTGTTCGTGGAGAAAGACTATAAATGATTACCTCACTATAATCTTCTATATATAATACATCATTATTAAAAATGATCAATGCTAATTAATCAAGACTAAGATGAAAAACTTACCAACCAACAAGATCATAACAGCAACAACTATCATATAATCTAAACTATTAATTATAAAGCCGGCCTAAACAGCTAATAATATGCTAAAGAGAAGTAACAACATACAACGAACAACATATCCAAATTCAATGACCAATTCTTAGCACTATTTCATCTATACCTTTAAACCCATTTCTAGTTTCTTTTTCTCTTCTTCATCCAAATGTTCAAAATTTCACAAAATTATACTACATAGTTTTAACAAGCTCGAAAAACAATAATGTTAGCCTACCATAAGACCATTTGGCTAAACAATGTTGTTTTTCTTCTTTGGGTTGTAATAATCTTACAAGTTGAGATTGTTTGCGCGGCTAATGATGCTGAAATCCTACTCAAGTTCAAGCAATCCCTCATGAATACCGATGCCCTAAGCAATTGGGAGACGTCGTCTGTCCAACCTTGTACAAACAACACAAGGAATTGGGTAGGCGTTATATGTAATAGAGGTTCGTTATTTGGTTTACAACTTGAGAATATGAACTTAAAGGGGACTATTGATATCGACACACTAGCTCAATTGTCAACTTTAAGGACTATTAGTTTTATGAA